GCTGTACCTTGAGGGTGAAGATCACGTACAGTGGTGTGGTTGATTGTCTATGGCTGTACCTTGAGGGTGAAGATCAGGTACAGTGGTGTGGTTGATTGTCTATGGCTGTACCTCGAGGGTGAAGATCAGGTACAGTGGTGTGGTTGATTGTCTATGGCTGTACCTCGAGGGTGAAGATCAGGTACAGTGGTGTGGTTGATTGTCTATGGCTGTACCTTGAGGGTGAAGATCAGGTACAGTGGTGTGGTTGATTGTCTATGGCTGTACCTCGAGGGTGAAGATCAGGTACAGTGGTGTGGTTGATTGTCTATGGCTGTACCTTGAGGGTGAAGATCAGGTACAGTGGTGTGGTTGATTGTCTATGGCTGTATCTTGAGGGTGAAGATCACGTACAGTGGTGTGGTTGATTGTCTATGGCTGTACCTTGAGGGTGAAGATCAGGTACAGTGGTGTGGTTGATTGTCTATGGCTGTACCTTGAGGGTGAAGATCAGGTACAGTGGTGTGGTTGATTGTCTATGGCTGTACCTTGAGGGTGAAGATCAGGTACAGTGGTGTGGTTGATTGTGTATGGCTGTACCTTGAGGGTGAAGATCAGGTACAGTGGTGTGGTTGATTGCGTGTGGTTGTACCTTGAGGGTGAAGATCACGTACAGTGGTGTGGCTGTACCTTGAGGGTGAAGATCAGGTACAGTGGTGTGGTTGATTGTCTATGGCTGTACCTCGAGGGTGAAGATCAGGTACAGTGGTGTGGTTGATTGTCTATGGCTGTACCTTGAGGGTGAAGATCAGCGGTACAGTGGTGTGGTTGATTGTGTATGGCTGTACCTCGAGGGTGAAGATCGGGTACAGTGGTGTGGTTGATTGTCTATGGCTGTACCTTGAGGGTGAAGATCAGGTACAGTGGTGTGGTTGATTGTGTATGGCTGTACCTTGAGGGTGAAGATCAGGTACAGTGGTGTGGTTGATTGTCTATGGCTGTACCTCGAGGGTGAAGATCAGGTACAGTGGTGTGGTTGATTGTCTATGGCTGTACCTCGAGGGTGAAGATCACGTACAGTGGTGTGGTTGTACCTCGAGGGTGAAGATCAGGTACAGTGGTGTGGTTGATTGTGTGTGGTTGTACCTTGAGGGTGAAGATCAGGTACAGTGGTGTGGTTGATTGTCTATTGCTGTACCTTGAGGGTGAAGATCACGTACAGTGGTGTGGTTGATTGTGTATGGCTGTATCTCGAGGGTGAAGATCGGGTACAGTGGTATGGTTGATTGTCTATGGCTGTACCTTGAGGGTGAAGATCACGTACAGTGGTGTGGTTGATTGTCTATTGCTGTACCTTGAGGGTGAAGATCAGGTACAGTGGTGTGGTTGATTGTCTATGGCTGTACCTTGAGGGTGAAGATCAGGTACAGTGGTGTGGTTGATTGTCTATGGTTGTACCTTGAGGGTGAAGATCAGGTACAGTGGTGTGGTTGATTGTGTGTGGTTGTACCTTGAGGGTGAAGATCAGGTACAGCGATGTGGTTGATTGTGTGTGGTTGTACCTTGAGGGTGAAGATCAGGTACAGTGGTGTGGTTGATTGTCTATGGCTGTACCTTGAGGGTGAAGATCAGGTACAGTGGTGTGGTTGATTGTCTATGGCTGTACCTTGAGGGTGAAGATCACGCGTACAGTGGTGTGGTTGATTGTCTATGGCTGTACCTTGAGGGTGAAGATCAGGTACAGTGGTGTGGTTGATTGTCTATGGCTGTACCTTGAGGGTGAAGATCAGGTACAGTGGTGTGGTTGATTGTCTATGGCTGTACCTTGAGGGTGAAGATCAGGTACAGTGGTGTGGTTGATTGTCTATGGCTGTACCTTGAGGTGAAGATCAGGTACAGTGGTGTGGTTGATTGTCTATGGCTGTACCTTGAGGGTGAAGATCAGGTACAGTGGTGTGGTTGATTGTGTGTGGTTGTACCTTACGGGTGAAGATCAGGTACAGTGGTGTGGTTGATTGTCTATGGCTGTACCTTGAGGGTGAAGATCAGGTACAGTGGTGTGGTTGATTGTCTATGGCTGTACCTTGAGGGTGAAGATCAGGTACAGTGGTGTGGTTGATTGTCTATGGCTGTACCTTGAGGGTGAAGATCAGGTACAGTGGTGTGGTTGATTGTGTGTGGTTGTACCTTACGGGTAAAGATCACGTACAGTGGTGTGGTTGATTGTCTATGGCTGTACCTCGAGGGTGAAGATCGGGTACAGTGGTGTGGTTGATTGTCTATGGCTGTACCTTGAGGGTGAAAATCAGGTACAGTGGTGTGGTTGATTGTGTGTGGTTGTTCCTTACAGGTGAAGATCAGGTACAGTGGTGTGGTTGATTGTCTATTGCTGTACCTTGAGGGTGAAGATCACGTACAGTGGTGTGGTTGATTGTCTATGGCTGTACCTTGAGGGTGAAGATCAGGTACAGTGGTGTGGTTGATTGTCTATGGCTGTACCTTGAGGGTGAAGATCAGGTACAGTGGTGTGGTTGATTGTCTATGGCTGTACCTTGAGGGTGAAGATCAGGTACAGTGGTGTGGTTGATTGTCTATGGCTGTACCTTGAGGGTGAAGATCAGGTACTGTGGTGTGGTTGATTGTCTATGGCTGTACCTTGAGGGTGAAGATCAGGTACAGTGGTGTGGTTGATTGTCTATGGCTGTACCTTGAGGGTGAAGATCAGGTACAGTGGTGTGGTTGATTGTCTATGGCTGTACCTTGAGGGTGAAGATCAGGTACAGTGGTGTGGTTGATTGTGTGTGGTTGTACCTTACGGGTGAAGATCACGTACAGTGGTGTGGTTGATTGTCTATGGCTGTACCTCGAGGGTGAAGATCGGGTACAGTGGTGTGGTTGATTGTCTATGGCTGTACCTTGAGGATGAAAATCAGGTACAGTGGTGTGGTTGATTGTGTGTGGTTGTTCCTTACGGGTGAAGATCAGGTACAGCGATGTGGTTGATTGTGTGTGGTTGTACCTTGAGGGTGAAGATCGGGTACAGTGGTGTGGTTGATTGTCTATGGCTGTACCTTGAGGGTGAAGATCAGGTACAGTGGTGTGGTTGATTGTCTATGGCTGTACCTCGAGGGTGAAGATCAGGTACAGTGGTGTGGTTGATTGTCTATGGCTGTACCTTGAGGGTGAAGATCAGGTACAGTGGTGTGGTTGATTGTCTATGGCTGTACCTCGAGGGTGAAGATCAGGTACAGTGGTGTGGTTGATTGTCTATGGCTGTACCTCGAGGGTGAAGATTGGGTACAGTGGTGTGGTTGATTGTCTATGGCTGTACCTTGAGGGTGAAAATCAGGTACAGCGATGTGGTTGATTGTGTGTGGTTGTACCTTGAGGGTGAAGATCAGGTACACACCTAGAAGACCATCTCACACACCTAGAAGATTATCTCACACACCTAGAAGACCATCTCACACACCAAGAAGACCATCTCACACACGAGGCAGACCATCTCACACACTAAGCAGACCATCTCACACCCGTAGCAGATTATCTCAGACACCTAGAAGATTATCTCACACACCCAGAAGACCATCTCACTCACCTAGAAGACCATCTCACACACCTAGATTTTCTCACACACCTAGAAGACCATCTCACACTCTTAGCTGACCATCTCACACACCTAGAAGATTATCTCACACACCTAGAAGACCATCTCACACACCAAGAAGACCATCTCACACACGAGGCAGACCATCTCACACACTAAGCAGACCATCTCACACCCGTAGCAGATTATCTCACACACCCAGAAGACCATCTCACTCACCTAGAAGACCATCTCACACACCTAGATTTTCTCACACACCTAGAAGACCATCTCACACTCTTAGCTGACCATCTCACACACCTAGAAGATTATCTCACACACCTAGACCATCTCACACACTTAGCTGACCATCTCATACACCTAGATTATCTCACACACCTAGAAGACCATCTCACACACTAAGCAGACCATCTCTCACACCTTGCAGACCATCTCACACACCTAGAAGACCATCCCACACACCTAGAAGATTATCTCACACACCTAGATGACCATCTCACACACCTAGAAGACCATCTCACACACTAAGCAGACCGTCTCACACACTATGCTGACAATCTCACACCATGCAGACCATCTCACACACCATGCAGACCATCCCACACACCAAGCAGACCCTCTCACACACTAAGCAGACCCTCTCACACTAAGCAGACCCTCTCACACTAAGCAGACCCTCTCACACACTAAGCAGACCATCTCACACACTAAGCAGACCCTCACACACTAAGCAGACCATCTCACACACTAAGCAGACCCTCTCATACACTGCAGACCATCTCACACACTAAGCAGACCCTCTCACACACTGTGCAGACCATCTCACACACTAAGCAGACCCTCACACACTAAGCAGACCATCTCACACACTAAGCAGACCCTCTCACACACTAAGCAGACCATCTGACACAGTATGCAGACCATCTCACAGTCTGAGCATACCATCCCACACACTAAGCAGACCATCTCTCATACCTAGCAGACCATCTCACACACCAAGCAGACCATCTCACACACTTAGCACACCATCTCACGCACCTAGATGATCTCACACACCAAGAAGGTGTTCTCACATTCTAAGCAGACCATCTCATACAAGAAGCAGACCACCAGTTTTGCACCTCTACATTATTGCCAATAGTTCTCATACACATTCATAAAACAAAACTGGCCAAAATTAGCGTTGACAGACAATCTGAGACAGTTGCTAAACACCACAATGACCAGTAATTGTGTCCATGGTTAAATGGGGCAAACAGCATGTGAATAATGACTCTCCGTCCCTCCATTGTGTTTCAGGCAGTAAGCTGTGAGCGCACCTGGCCAAGCTACAGGGACACTGTACAGGTGAGCTGAGACCAGGAGGCCAGGCTACCTGGACACTGTACAGCTGAACGGAGACCAGGAGGCAAGGATGGGGCTGCCGGACTCTGCATCAGCGTGAGTAATATGTCACTCATAGAATGACATGGAACCGATACATTTGAGATGTTATTTGTAGAATCTCTATCAACATATATATCCTGGGGTAACACTACACGTACAAGATCAATGAATATGTTCCTCTCTATTGAGGACACCCTGTAGTACTGATCAGTGAATATGTTCCTCTCTATTGAGGACACCCTGTAGTACTGATTTCTAAGGCATTACATACATTTTGTAAAGTTGGATTTTCTTCCTTTGGTCTATACCTCTCCTACAATGTTAGAAGATGGTGACAGACATCTGACATTACATTTATTTTGTGGTGTAAGATTTTGAAATCCTCATTTCATATTTACCATCATCATCATCATCATCATCTACCTTTACAACACAAGATACCACCCCATACCTTGCCACGACCTTAACACATGGTTCCAGCCGGATCCTGAACCAGCCAAGCATGTTACCCCTCACTCCCACCCTCCGGAACCCATCTGAGGCCAGTTACCCCTCACTCCCACCCCTCCGGAACCGATCTGAGGCCAGTTACCCCTCACTCCCACCCCTCCGGAACCCATCTGAGGCCAGTTACCCCACACTTCCACCCCTCCGGAACCCATCTGAGGCCAGTTACCCCACACTCCCACCCCTCCGGAACCCATCTGAGGCCAGTTACCCCTCACTCCCACCCTCCGGAACCCATCTGAGGCCAGTTACCCTCACTCCCACCCTCCGGAACCCATCTGAGGCCAGTTACCTCTCACTCCCACCCTCCTGAACCCATCTGAGGCGTTACCCCTCACTCCCACCCCTCCAGAACCCATCTGAGGCCAATTACCCCTCATCCCACCCTCCTGAACCCATTTGATGCCAGTTACCCCACACTCCCACCCCTCCTGAACCCATCTGAGGCCAGTTACCCCTCACTCCCACCCCTCCGGGAACCTATCTGAGGCCTGTTACACCCCACACTCCCACCCTCCTGAGGCCAGTTACCCCACACTCCCACCCTCCTGAACCCATCTGAGGCCTGTTACCCCACACTCCCACCCCTCTGGAACCCATCTGAGGCCTGTTACCCCACACTCCCACCCTCCTGAACCCATCTGTGGCAAGTTACCCCTCACTCACACCCATCTGAGGCCTGTTGCCCCACTCTTCCACCACTCTTGAACCCAGCCAAGACATGTTTCCCCTCACTCCCACTGCTCATGAACCCAGCCAAGACCTGTTTCCCCTCACTCCCACTCTCCTGAACCCATCTTAGGCCCGTTACCCCACTCTTCCACCACTCCTGAACCGAGCGAAGACCTGTTTCCCCATGCTCCCACTCCTCCTGAATCCAGCTAAGGCCTGTTACCCCACACTCCCACCCTCCTGAACCCAGCTAAGGCCTGTTACCCCACACACCCACTGCTCCTGAACCCTGTAAGCTAAGGCCAGTTACCCCTCACTCCCACCCTCCTGAACCCAGCTAAGGCCTGTTACCACACACTCCCACTGATCCTGAACCCACCTAAGGCCTGTTACCCCACACTCCCTCCCCTCCTGAACCCAGCTAAGGCCTGTTACCCCACACTCCCACCGATCCTGAACCCATCTAAGGCCTGTTACCCCTCACTCCCACCGATCCTGACCCCAGCTTAGGCCTGTTACCCTTCACTCCCACCCCTTCTGAACCCTTTAAGCTAAGGCCTGTTACCCCTCACTCCCACCCCTCCTGAACCCATCTAAGGCCTGTTACCCCACGCTCCCACCGCTCCTGAACCCTGTAAGCTAAGGCCTGTTACCCCACACTCCCACCGATCCTGAACCCATCTAAGGCCTTTTACCCCTCACTCCCACCGATCCTGAACCCTGTAAGCTAAGGCCTGTTACCCCTCACTCCCACCCCTTCTGAACCCATCTAAGGCCTGTTACCCCACACTCCCACTGATCCTGAACCCATCTAAGGCCTGTTACCCCTCACTCCCACCGATCCTGAACCCATCTAAGGCCTGTTACCCCTCACTCCCACCCCTCCTGAACCCTGTAAGCTAAGGCCTGTTACCCCTCACTCCCACCCTCCTGAACCCATCTAAGGCCTGTTACCCCACCGATCCTGAACCCATCTAAGGCCTGTTACCCCACACTCCCACCCTCCTGAACCCTGTAAGCTAAGGCCTGTTACCACACACTCCCACCCCTCCTGAACCCAGCTAAGGCCTGTTACCCCACGCTCCCACCGATCCTGAACCCTGTAAGCTAAGGCTTGTTACCCCTCACTCCCACCGATCCTGAACCCTGTAAGCTAAGGCTTGTTACCCCTCCCATCCTGGTTTGCTCAACGCACACACGAAACACACCAGCAGCATATGGAATTGTAACTGTAGGAGATCGGATAGTTTATATTTTAGAAATGGGTTGTTGGTTGGAATAGAATAGTGCTATGGGTTGTTTATATTTAATGATTGGCAGGTAGGGTGGCTTTTTATATACGTGGTTTTGCTAATGTAAACAAAAAGGTTGGGTGGCTTATAATTACGATTTCGCCTATTTTGCAAGTACTGTATTGATGTCGTTATCTTGTATAGTATGTTTGCAGTGAAAACGTACGGGTGAATTGCACTTTAAACAAAAATGTTAATCGAATAAAGTGAAATTAAGATTGTGAATCCTCATAATTCTACCTTGCCAATTGAACATTCAAATCTTAGATTTTTATTCAACTTATGAAAAATGTTGTTTAACAAACGATCATAGTTTCAAATCGTATATATTGGTTTGTATTACAAGGGGGTAAGCGCAGTAGTTGGAACAGTGAAACAAATGCACGTGCGGTAAGTGATGAGCGTTAACTTAGACCAACCCTACTTGATCTCAGTGTTTCATTTAATGTGCATACCCCCTTGTAATACAAACCAATAATACCGATTTGAAACTATGATCGTTTGTTAAACAACTTTCATCCCAAGTTGAATAAAATTCTGAGATTTAAATTTTCAAATGGCAAGGTAAAAATTAAGAGGATTCACAATCTTAATTTCACTTTATTTGATTTATTTTTTTTGTTTAAAGTGATATTCATCGGTACGTTTACACCACAAACCGACTATAGTCATTTATTCTACTTATTACTCACGTTTGGCAGTAAAATTCCGTTGGAATATCCTTTGTCGGTCATGTAATGTAGCTGGGTATCTGTCGTATCCCTTCGCTGTCAGCCATGTTTGGAGCGGAAGCGGAGGGTGCGCAGTGCCGCAGTGAAGTTGTTTACTGTTGCGTAGCCAATCATAACACTTCGTCGTGACCTTTCAGAGGTTAGCTCATATATATATAAGAGTATATAAGAGCCTGCTGCGACTGATATTGTCTTGCGTATCGGTGTTCCGAGCAAGTCCACTACCTATACGGGGGATGTTCCCTACGGCTCGTAAGGGTTGGTTGGGTTTTTTTTTTAAGACTCTTACTGTTGAAGTAGTTTCATAGGTGTCTGCACAGGACGTCGACCTTTGGGTGAAATGTCACGGTTCAGGTAAGAAATAAGGTCGACGTCCTGTCCATTTGACATTATACCAATCAACAGGGGATTAAAAAAGACAGAGATAATCCAGTGTTTACACAAGGTGATAATCCGGATTATGCGGTTGAAAGCACAGACAACAGGAGAAAAGTATTATTTTTCGTCCATTTTATTTCTGATTCGAAATCATCCCACATGAAGCAGGTGAGATGCAGCATCTGCAAAATCTCTGGTGTTGATGACGCCATTCCTAAGATCATGTCTTAGGACATCCAGGGCGCTCCAAATCCCTGTACTTCTTTTTCTTCAAGGGACGTTTTTGTCCACCGCCCGAACTGCAACAGGCGGACTTCAGTGTGACTCTGCTCCTTTGCAAGAAACTTGATCATTTCAAAGATATTGGCGTCGCCTTCCACGCCAATCTCTTGAGACGAGAGTGCCACCCTTCTAAATGGTTGTTGGTGCGGGGTCATCAGGATCATGGTGGTTCCACTGTGGTCTATGGAGGTCACCCTCGATCCAGTAGCTGGTGATGTAGTCACTGATGTCTCAGCATCGTGGGTGGTCGCCGGGCATGGTTGTTAATGTGTCCAGCCACAGCTCCTCAACCTTTATTCACACGGTACATAAAGCCACCAACACACAGGTATCTGCCACCACGAGATGTAGGAAGAAATCGCTGATTCAACTGTGCATTTGCCATTTCGAAACTGAATGTAAACTACCTCACGTTCTTTCCTTATATATATCCAAATTGAATGAAATGTGTTCATCATTGTAAAAATCACTCTCATATGATAACATTTATGACATTGATGACATTTTGTGTGAACTACGTGGGTGAACTATGTTCACGCCTTTTGCACGCCCAAGTTATCGACAATCTTAAAACATCACCCACTGGCGGATTAGCGTGACTCTAACAACACCTTCGACATCAAAGTTAGCCGCAGGTCGACTTCATGTCCATAGCGAAATTTCAAAAGGTCGACTTCGTGTCCATAAACCGTTTCATACTGTAGTCGGGTGGGGTAAGAAAAATAGATTATGACATAGTTTATTTTCTCGGGTTTAACATGTAGGTAGTGTGGGTTGGGGGAGAAACTAGTGTTAGGAATTAAGTAGGTCATGTAGAATTTAGGAATTAGTGTAGGGAATAGGTGTGTTTTAGTGAGTGAAAGAGAGCTACTTTTGTTCAGTTTTTGTTATCATTTGTTTTGCTTGTTTTCCTTATTTTTATTTAACAGAATAAATTATTACTATCTACATTTCTGCCTTGTGTCATATTTTGCTGAAAGAGCTGACAAATGCCACTGAACTGAAGAAGACTACACTGTTCCGATGTTTTTTTTTTAAGCTTTCCATCATTTACTAAAAGTACATAACGCAAAGTCTATAACAAAACTATGATCAGGGAAACACCGAAGTACATTCTACATGTGATAATCAGTGATAACAGGGTAAAGAGGTGACAATCAGTCTGTATTGTTGTTGGATGTGTTACTGTTCCATGTTGCTATTGGTGGTAATTGTCAGTCATGTCACTGTGCGTCATCTTTGAGATCTGTTGTTGACGAAAGTGTAGGAGTGCACATGAGGGAGGTGTAATGAAGAATATATTTTTATCTTCTTGGACTTGCAGTTTCAAACCACTGTGATATAACTGTAATATAGCCGACTACACACCACTGTGATATAACTGTCATATAGCTGACTTCACACCACTGTGATATAACTGTCATTTGGCTGACTACACACCACTGTGATATAACTGTCATATAGCTGACTACACACCACTGTGATATAACTGTCATATAGCTGCCTACACACCACTATGATATAATTGTAATATAGCTGACTACACAGGACTGTAATATAACTGTCATTTGGCTGACTACACACCACTGTGATATAACTGTAATATAGCTGACTACACATGACTGTGATGTAACTGTCATTTGGCTGACTTCACACCACTGTAATATAACTGTAATATAGCTGACTACACACCACTGTGATATAACTGTCATATAGCTGACTACACACCACTGTGATATAACTGTCATATAGCTGACTACACACCACTGTGATATAACTGTCATTTGGCTGACTACACACCACTGTGATATAACTGTCATTTGGCTGACTACACACCACTGTGATATAATTCTCATTTGGCTGACTTCACACCCCTTTGACTACAGTTATGTAGAACCCTGTATTGACACTCCAAATTGTATCATAATTTAGTGTGGAAATAAAATTTGAATTAGCAGTTGATTGACTGAAGCAAAATGTTTTTATGATGAACAAATGAGACGAGAAGACGTGGAAATGATTACTTCCCTGTCCAGGGAAAGGAGAATGTTGACGTTGGTAATGAAGCAACATGAGTAAAAGTCAAGTGGAAAGTAAATGGTTAGGGTCAGAATTATCCCCCGTCAGTGTCATGATCAATACCTAATTACTGGTAGTGATAGCAGGCTTATCAGTCTCGGAGACTAAATGGAATCAGAAAAGTTCAGATGAGATGTTTTATTGGGAACTGCCAAAACGTTTTTCTGACTGCTGATGATAAATGGAGGTGTGGTAATGATGTTTAGGTCGGGGATGATGAACATGTGTTGTGCAAGGTGAGGGGAATGGAGGTTAACTGGGGTTTCATGTCTCATTCAAGGTAATTACACTTGTGCTATGGCTTCCTTCCTGTGTTGTGTGAGTGCATGGCTCTTTGGACTAGTGCTGATTCTGAGCTGACCATTCTGAGACTGAGTACACAATGCCATTTTAGAAAGTGGTAAATGTAACGTGTTATATTTGAGATTGACCATTCTCTGTTTCATCCCTGTTATACATTGCACCTGTACAATCAGTAAGGGGTGTGCTATATTCAGACTTGTGCTATATTCAAAAAAGCTCCCACAATTATCTGACCTACAAAATATCATAGAATGATGTACAAACAGCTACATAGACCTTATTCCAGTATCATCTGTCTGAGAAAAGTATATGAGGTTAACTGTTTAGTTTCAAGTTGGGAATCAACAAATAACACAGGCACCAAGGGAAGGGATGCAGGGTCTGATGCAGCCAGGTAACACAGACCTTCCTGTTTCTGGGCAGTCTCTTGGTACAGTAGACTAATGTAGTATTTCCTGTCTCTGGGCAGACTCTTGGTACATTAGACTCTAGTCCAGTATTGACAGTCTCCTGTCTCGGGGCAAGCTCTTGGTACAGTAGACTCTAGTGTAGTATTGACAGTCTCCTGTCTCTGGGCAGACTCTTGTTACAGTAGACTGTATGTCCATGAAACACTCTTTGAAAGCTGAACTAGTACATTAACGTTAAGTGCGATATTCTCAACAAATAGCTAGAAAATGAGATTGGTTTATCCTCTTAATTCCCAAGAACAAATGCAACAAGTCTTGAACAAGATATGTTTGGTAACTGTAATCCTTGTGTGACTGACCGCACACAGCGTGGCATGATGAGATGAAATCTGTGGCTGTGTCTGGCTTTGTGCTGGGGATGCAAGTGAACGACTTGACCAAGCCCGAGAGAATGGGGGACAATGGATGAGAGCTGATCTGTTTGTAATGAGGATGGACATAATACCTGTTTTAATCATAGGACACTGATTAATCTCGGCTGCTAATTGCCCCACAAGCTGGACAGTATTGATGTAGTGTTACTGGCTGACTTAATGGTGGTGGGTGGGGGATGCCTCAGATACTTGGGCGTGACAAACGAGAGGGTGAACCTGGGAGAGATGCATTAGATGATTAGATATATTGGCTTTTGCCAGCTAGCTTCAAGTGTACAGCTTTCACCTCTCATGTCCGCCCGAGGTCTAGGGGATGCAGCTAACTGGACAGTCCTGTTGTATCAAGGCTTTGCTTGAGAACACTGTCTTAGTTAAGGTGAGTCTCTCCACAACAGTAACTGCCTAATGTGGTGCTCCTGGTTGTAAGTCTGACTTATCAATAGACAAGAAGAAATCATGGGTCATATGGGATAATCTGTAAAGTATTTGTTTCTCTACTGTGTCTGTGTACAATATTTGTCTGTTCAGTGTTTTGTCTGTACAGTATTTGTCTGTTCAGTGTTTGTGCAGTGTTGTAGTGTATTCGTCTGTAATTGAGTGTTTAGTTGGGTGTCTTACAGGATGTTCTGCTGTGCATCTATTGGCAATCTTACTTGACTTCTACCTGTGTGTCAGGTCCTGCCTAGCTCGGCATCTCGTTGTGTATCTTACAGTGTTTCTTGCTCTATATTTAACTGGTTGTCTTGATGGTGTTCAGCTGGGTGTCTGGCTGTATATCTAACTGGGTGTCTGGCTGTATATCTAACCGGGTGTCTGGCTGTATATCTAACTTGGTGTCTGGCTGTATATCTAAATGGGTGTCTGGCTGTATATCTAACTGGGTGTCTGGCTGTATATCTAACCGGGTGTCTGGCTGTATATCTAACTGGGTGTCTGGCTGTATATCTAACCGGGTGACTGGCTCTATGTCTAACCGGGTGTCTGGTTGTGGGGTGTCTGGCTGTATGTCTAACCGGTGTCTGGCTGTATATCTAACCGGGTGCCTGGCTCTATATCTAACCGAGTGTCTGGTTGTGGGGTGTCTGGCTGTATGTCTAACTGGGTGTCTGGCCTATATATCTAACCGGGTGTCTGGCTGTATATCTAACTGGGTGTCTGGTCGTGGGGTGTCTGGCTGTATATCTAACTGGGTGTCTGGCTGTATGTCTAACTGGGTGTCTGGTTGTGGGGTTTCTGACTGTATATCTAACTGGGTGTCTGGCTGTATGTGTAACTGGGTGTCTGGTCATGGGGTGTCTGGCTGTATGTCTAACTGGGTGTCTGGTCGTGGGGTGTCTGGCTGTATATCTAACTGGGTGTCTGGCTGTATGTCTCACTGGGTGTCTGGTCTTGGGGTGTCTGGCTGTATATCTAAATGGGTGTCTGGCTGTATGTCTCACTGGGTGTCTGGTCTTGGGGTGTCTGGCTGTATATCTAACTGGGTGTCTGGCTGTATGTCTCACTGGGTGTCTGGACGTGGGGTGTCTGGCTGTATGTCTAACTGGGTGTCTGGTTGTGGGGTGTCTGGCTGTATATCTAACTGGGTGTCTGGCTGTATGTGTAACTGGGTGTCTGGTCGTGGGGTGTCTGGCTGTATGTTTCACTGGGTGTCTGGTCGTGGGGTGTCTGGCTGTATATCTAACTGGGTGTCTGGTCGTGGGGTGTCTGGCTGTATGTTTCACTGGGTGTCTGGTTGTGGGGTGTCTGGCTGTATGTCTAATTGGGTGTCTGGTCGTGGGGTGTCTGGCTGTATGTGTAACTGGGTGTCTGGTCCTGGGGTGTCTGGCTGTATGTGTAACTGGGTGTCTGGTCGTGGGGTGTCTGGCTGTATGTCTAATTGGGTGTCTGGTCTTGAGGTGTCTGGCTGTATATCTAACTGGGTGTCTGGCTGTATATCTAACTGGGTGTCTGGTCTTGAGGTGTCTGGCTGTATATCTAATTCGGTGTCTGGCTGTATATCTAACTGGGTGTCTGGTCGTGGGGTGTCTGGCTGTATGTTTCACTGGGTGTCTGGCTGTATATCTAACCAGGTGTCTGGCTGTATGTTTCATTGGGTGTCTGGTCGTGGGGTGTCTGGCTGTATGTCTCACTGGGTGTCTGGTCTTGAGGTGTCTGGCTGTATGTTTCACTGGGTGTCTGGCTGTATATCTAACCAGGTGTCTAGCTGTATGTTTCACTGGGTGTCTGGTCTTGAGGTGTCTGGCTGTATGTTTCACTGGGTGTCTGGTCGTGGGGTGTCTGGCTGTATGTCTAATTGGGTGTCTGGTCTTGAGGTGTCTGGCTGTATGTTTCACTGGGTGTCTGGCTGTATATCTAACCAGGTGTCTGGCTGTATGTTTCACTGGGTGTCTGGCTGTATATCTAACCAGGTGTCTGGCTGTATGTTTCACTGGGTGTCTGGTCGTGGGGTGTCTGGCTGTATGTCTCACTGGGTGTCTGGTTGTGGGGTGTCTGGCTGTATGTCTAATTGGGTGTCTGGTCGTGGGGTGTCTGGCTGTATGTGTAACTGGGTGTCTGGTCCTGGGGTGTCTGGCTGTATGTGTAACTGGGTGTCTGGTCCTGGGGTGTCTGGCTGTATGTCTAATTGGGTGTCTGGTCTTGAGGTGTCTGGCTGTATATCTAACTGGGTGTCTGGCTGTATATCTAACTGGGTGTCTGGTCTTGAGGTGTCTGGCTGTATATCTAATTCGGTGTCTGGCTGTATATCTAACTGGGTGTCTGGTCGTGGGGTGTCTGGCTGTATGTTTCACTGGGTGTCTGGCTGTATATCTAACCAGGTGTCTGGCTGTATGTTTCATTGGGTGTCTGGTCATGGGGTGTCTGGCTGTATGTCTCACTGGGTGTCTGGTCTTGAGGTGTCTGGCTGTATGTTTCACTGGGTGTCTGGCTGTATATCTAACCAGGTGTCTGGCTGTATGTTTCACTGGGTGTCTGGTCTTGAGGTGTCTGGCTGTATGTTTCACTGGGTGTCTGGTCGTGGGGTGTCTGGCTGTATGTCTAATTGGGTGTCTGGTCTTGAGGTGTCTGGCTGTATGTTTCACTGGGTGTCTGGCTGTATATCTAACCAGGTGTCTGGCTGTATGTTTCACTGGGTGTCTGGCTGTATATCTAACCAGGTGTCTGGCTGTATGTTTCACTGGGTGTCTGGTCGTGGGGTGTCTGGCTGTATGTCTCACTGGGTGTCTGGTCTTGAGGTGTCTGGCTGTATGTTTCACTGGGTGTCTGGCTGTATATCTAACCAGGTGTCTGGCTGTATGTTTCACTTGGTGTCTGGCTGCATATCTAACCAGGTGTCTGGCTGTATGTTTCACTGGGTGTCTGGTCGTGGGGTGTCTTGCTTGCTGCAGACGGTGTTTGGACATTGTGGCACAGAAGTGGCTAGGAGAGGAGGGAGAGGCTGCAGTTATTGATTATTTATGTTGAGCCTGTGTACAGCGTCTTGCCGGACTAGTCACCATAGACACATGCCACGAGAAGGAGAGTGGTGGAGGAAGCATTTGGAATTTTAATGGAGATGAGCTATGAATACTCTGGAGAACCTAACTGTTTGTAGATCTAGGAACGCTTGGCAGCGTAAGTATTGAAATGTGTAGACAGTAGCTCCCCCTCTGCAGTGTAGCAGACATCGTCACTCCCTGAAGCAATCACCAATGCAGCATGTCGTGGTAATGCTGCTGCTGCTGCTGCTGTTGCTGCCAGATTAAAGCATGATGTTGCTGTACAGTGATTCAACTGTTTATCATTTATCAATTATGAGCTTCAGGGGGATCATTATGTCCTAAGACACACGGAGAGAATCAATATTCCTGGCTTTATTAATACTCTACTGCATATTTTCAATTTTAGAATTATCATAATATTTGTTGTGTTGATACAGTGTGTACCTGAGTTACATTCACTGGTGGAGGAATGAAATGTGGTTTTTGTTTGGATAATATTTGTGACATTCTACTTTAAGAAGACATATTAATATACATGATTGTAACGAACATTTGAATGACTAAAATCCTGGACAAGTCTGAGTAAGGGTGTATGTGTCTCCTACACACGCGTGAGAATGGTAGCATAGCTTGATACTGTGGACATTTCTGCTCCTCGTGCAGAGGTGCCGGAAGATTTATGCTACTTCCGCGTCAGGAGTGGAAATATTTCATTAATTTAGCTGCATTTCCATATGAGTCATCAGTTTTGCAAAACGGATCAGAGGCTGTCCAGATTAAGTTGTGACTCGTACACAAGGTGGTCGACATTTCTGTCAAAATCTCACTTATTTAGTGTCCCCCTCCCACGTGACACATGACATGTGTCATGAAAAGGTCAAGGTTAAAAAGACTGACATCATATGATATATATTGTTCACTGAAACATGTAATTGTGGTTACATTTTCTCACAATTTATAGATTGTTTTTTTAATATTTCTTCTCTCAGCAAGGCTAATCTGTCTGGTATCTATACTGGTATATAGCAGGGCTAATCTGTCTGGTATCTATACTGGTATATAGCAGAGCTAATCTGTCTGGTATCTATACTGGTATATAGCAGAGCTAATCTGTCTGGTATCTATACTGGTATATAGCAGGGCTAACCTGTCTGGTATCTATACTGGTATATAGCAGGGCTAACCTGTCTGGTATCTATACTGGTATATAGCAGAGCTCACCTGTCTGGTATCTATACTGGTATATAGCAGGGCCAATCTGTCTGGCATCTATACTGGTATATAGCAGGGCTAACCTGTCTGGTATCTATACTGGTATATAGCAGGGCTAATCTGTCTGGTATCTATACTGGTATATAGCAGGGCTAACCTGTCTGGTATCTATACTGGTATATAGCAGGGCTAATCTGTCTGGTATCTATACTGGTATATAGCAGGGCTAACCTGTCTGGTATCTATACTGGTATATAGCAGGGCTAATCTGTCTGGTATCTATACTGGTATATAGCAGAGCTAATCTGTCTGGTATCTGGTGTACAGTAGGCATTGAGCTTAATATGTGAAACATAAATGGGCCTCACAAGTCACATCTATTTCTAGTTGAGTGGAAGGGGTTTGGCTATATGACCATTACTGGACAATATCAGACAAGCTATGCTCACCATATATTATGAGAACTGGCCTGTTGACTGAGGAAAGTGTTTACTTCATTTTTTTATGTTTGTAGATGTATGAAAATCAGATGTCATCATGTAACTTTCTGAGCATGACACTTCAACATGACAGTAGACATGAGAGGTATGTAGCTTTCTGAGCCTGACATTTCAACATGACAGTAGACATGAGAGGTAGCTTTCTGAGCCTGACACTTCAACACGACAGTAGGCATGAGTTGTATGTAACTTTTTGAGCCTGACATTTCAACATGACAGTAGGCATGAGATGTAGCTTTCTGAGCCTGACACTTCAACATGACAGTAGGCATGAGAGGTATGTAGCTTTCTGAGCCTGACATTTCAACATGACAGTAGACATGAGAGGTAGCTTTCTGAGCCTGACACTTCAACATGACAGTAGGCATGAGAGGTATGTAGTTTTCTGAGCCTGACACTTCAACATGACAGTAGACATGAGAGGTCTGAGCCTGACACTTCAACACGACAGTAGGCATGAGAGGTATGTAGCTTTCTGAGCCTGACACTTCATCACGACAAGGCATGACAGGTATGTAGCATGAGCCTGTCAACATGACAGTAGGCATGAGCTGTATGTACATTTCTGAGCCTGACATTCAACATGACAGTAGGCATGAGAGGTATGTAGTTTTCTGAGCCTGACACTTCAACATGACAGTAGGCATGAGATGTATGTAGCTTCTGAGCCTGACATTTCAACATGACAGTAGGCATGAGAGGTATGTAGCTTTCTGAGCCTGACATTTCAACATGACAGTAGGCATGAGAGGTATGTAGCTTTCTGAGCCTGACATTTCAACATGACAGTAGGCATGAGAGGTATGTAGCTTTCTGAGCCTGACATTTCAACATGACAGTAGGCATGAGAGGTATGTAGTTTTCTGAGCCTGACACTTCAACACAATTCAGAGGTTGAGACTGATGGTGTGTCCAGTCTGAAGAATGGATTTCGCAAGCTATCAATGGTTGTTCAAGGTTTTCTGGTACTTGCGGTATAATGAGGTCAGTTTCCCTGTTGCAATTCCTACAATACATACAGTCCAATCTGAAGGGTGTGTGTGACCATTGATTTGCCGACTATTACGTGATAGCTTCTTGTGAGTGAACATTACTCCAATAGCTCTAACAATAGCTGTACTTCTTGTGAAAGCAACTCCCTGCGTCTCTGAACGTGACTCCCCTTCGGGAGCAGTCAGCTGCTTAGATTCTGTCAGAAGGAACTGTAATCAACCCAATCAATCAAAGTGCAGCCATTTTTGCTGAATGTCATAAACTGGATGAAGGCAGAATAGTTTGGACAGTGGTCATGTAGTCCTGTCATACAGCCCCCAGTTGTCATGTAGACCTGTCATGCAGCCCCAAGTTGTCATGTAGACCTGTCATGCAGCTCCCAGTTGTCATGTGGACCTGCCATGCAACACCCAGTTGTCATGTGGACCTGCCATACAGCCCCAGTTGTCATGTGGACCTGTCATGCAGCCCCCAGTTGTCATGTGGAGCTGTCATGCAGCCCCCAGTTGTCATGTGGACCTGTCATGCAGCCCCCAGTTGTCATGTGGACCTGTCATGCAGCCCCCAGTTGTCATGTGGACCTGTCATGCAGCCCCCAGTTGTCATGTGGACCTGTCATGCAGCCCCCAGTTGTCATGTGGTCCTGTCATGCAGCCGCCAGTTTGTTGTTTTGGTGCTGGTTGTGTATTGTGTTGTGTTGTGCAAGCTCCAATGACCTGTGTCTCCCCGGCAGTGTCCCTGACAATAGTCTGTATGCACTCTCTTCACAGGCAAATACAAGTACATCCATATTCATGAAGCAATTCGATAGTTATGAACTTTAGATATCTTTCATTTCATCATTTTGATCAGAGAGAACAAATTCTATGTCCCATTATCCTGATGGAGGTCGGGATCTGTGAGCATCACATCTAAATCAGAATCAATGAGTATTCCCTCGCAGTTCCGCAGTCATCCATCACAGACCAATATAATTAGCACTATTCCATTAGCATCAGGTTGTAAAAGCCAAAAGTTATATTTGACAGGTGAGAAGATATTAAAACACCTCATACAAAGCAAATCTGCTCCCATCTGCTCTTCCTGTCAATAAGGATTATGCAGGTGCTTATTGGCTTACGTTGAAGCGAGGGAATAACAGCAGTTGTCAGTGACACTGGATAATACGGGGATGATGTGTGGTGTGTGGGGACAATAGATGGAACACTGTAGACGCTGACAATAGATGGAACACTGTAGACGCTGACAATATAGGGAACACTGTAGACACTGAAAATATAGGGAACACTGTAGACGCTGACAATATAGGGAACACTGTAGACACTGACAATATAGGGAACACTGTAGACACTGACAATATAGGGAACATTGTAGACGCTGACAATAGATGGAACACTGTAGAGACTGACAATAGATGGAACACTGTACACACTGACAATATATGGAACACTGTAGACACTGACAATATAGGGAACACTGTAGACACTGACAATATAGGGATCACTGTAGACGCTGACAATAGATGGAACACTGTAGACACTGACAATATAGGGATCACTGTAGACGCTGACAATATAGGGAACACTGTAGACGCTGACAATATAGGGAACACTTGTAGACACTGACAATATAGGGAACACTGTAGACGCTGACAATAGATGGAACACTGTAGATGCTGACAATATAGGGAACACTGTAGATACTGACAATATAGGGAACACTGTAGATGCTGACAATATAGGGAACACTGTAGACACTGACAATATAGGGAACACTGTAGATACTGACAATATAGGGAACACTGTAGACGCTGACAATATAGGGAACATTGTAGACGCTGACAATATAGGGAACACTGTAGACACTGACAATATAGGGATCACTGTAGATGCTGACAATAGATGGAACACTGTAGACACTGACAATATAGGGAAAACTGTAGACACTGACAATATATGGAACACTGTAGACGCTGACGATGTTGGGAATATTTTCAAGTGCAACAATATGGCTGAAATTATTCATATGGATCTTTTGAATTCTGCTTTATAAAATATTTTTTATGACCCGGGATGAGCCTCCAAATGTCACAAATCAACTACAAGTTAAAATGAAACCTTTTAGGCTAAATACATTTATTACATTATGGCCTCATTTCACAAGCAGTTACATGGAACAGTGAACAGAATGAAGATATCAGAATATCCTTGTACTAGACATCACAAACAGATCGAACAATATTTCACATACCACAGAAACAATAGTCAACAGCACACACAGGTTCACTGAATGTGCATCTACAGAAATAGTCCATGGTTGAAATCCTGCATACAATGCATAACTGCTCTGTTGTTTGTCTCCATCATCCAGAACAGTGGAGCACTGTATTAAATATGTCTTGCTGAACTCTCGAGTAAGAAATCAGATG